GAATGCTTTGTTGCGTTCATTGAAAACGCTCAGAAAGCACAGCAACATTTTGACGGTGAACAACGAATGAATGCTGCTACGATGACGATGATGAGATGTTGAAAAAGCTTGCATTGAGAACCGTTTTGTTCGTGTGCATATACAGATTACAACGTATTGTATATGAAGAACACATGCTATATGCACTGTGTTCATCAACATCTTGAGCACTACACATTTATTCCATTAATAAGTCGGGACGTAGTCAGAAAGCAGGGTGAGGGGAGGGGGGTGAAGGGCGCAAGGACTCCTTTTCCCCTTGTTTGAAGGATGGAAGGATGGAAGAGAAAGGAAAATGAAATGGGTGGAAAACGTCTGGGAAAATAAGAGGGAAGAGAGTGCAAATCTCCATTGTGCAGCCGCCGCTGCCTTCTGGAGAAAATTCTGGTTATGCCACTGTAAATAAGGATATAGTTAGNTACAATGTTTCTCGAGGGTATGATAACATAGCCTATTAGCATGAACAACGACTAGAAACATTTTTATGCATCAACAGATCTGAACACAAATAACTGATTATGAATGGCTCGTTCAGTTCAGTGAAAAGAGACTGGGCGAACATTCATCTATCGAAACGATGATGTGATCAAAACTTATGAATGGCAAAGTTTATGAGGGGATATAAATGAGCCTTTCTAGTGCTTCTGGTGACATTCATAGTTACGATAATGACAACAATGACAAAAGCAAAAGTTTTAATCTTAATAGGAAATCAACTGTCCATCAAGCATAACCAAAAAAATTATCACTACGACGAAGTTTCAAGAGTTAACAAAATAATAATATTAACAGAAGTGTGATCAAAAGCGAACGATAAAGTACTTATAAGTTATGCGATAAAGATAAGCATCTAGTGATTTGATCACATTATCTGTTTAATAAATTGCATAAACAAATGAATATGAGAGAATGCGGTATTGTCATAGCAAATTCGTGTTATTGGATATGTTGCAAGGATGAGTGGATATGCAACATAGCGAAACTCCATCGGGCCATGTGTGGATCGATGAATGAAGATGAACTGTCTGCTCGACGAGAGTAATCCGTTGTCGGCTCCTTTGAGTATCAATAAAAGCAGAACTCAACTCAATGTGATTGATAGCGCTATGATCTTAAGGAGTGATCAACTGAGAGACGACTAAATCGTCAGCATTCGAATGCTGAGAAACTATTGAAATAAAGACGACAATTTTGGTTGATACCTATTGTGAAAAGCTCTTAGAATGAATAATGGTACTTACATAACACACATATATTATGGACATAAAACAAATGAGCTGTGACAGTTTTCATACGATCATTTGCTCACAGTACAAACAAGCACAATGAGTTCATCATATAATTTTTTAAAACTCAATGTCATTTCTAATGTTATTATTAATTTTTACACATGTTCTCATATGCATTTATCCGAATCATAATTGTTTTTGCTCATGAAAGCCGTTTGAGGGAAAAATATTGCATCTTTTTAATCAAACGAAATGAAATTCTCATCTAAAAATCAGAGAACTTTCGATCTGCAACGAAATTGGAGGATAGCATGGAACTTGAGCAACTCTAAAAATTCGCTGAAAATCTTGCAAACATTTTTGTCGTTTAATACGATTGATCCTTTTGAGAGGTATGAAGACCGCAATGACTTACATCTCTACAATTTTTTTTTCGACCTAAACGCATAGCAGTCCTTATAGACATGTCGTCAAGATTATGCTGATTGTAAAATGATTGCATAATTGATGACATTTGTATTTGTTTGCTTGCTTGCGTCGTATGAGATGGAATTTGTGTATTGTGTGAATATGAAAGAAAACTTTATTGTACGGACGAAATGCGAACGAACAAATGAATCGGAGAGTGCTGCAGCAAGACGATGACAATGAAGCGAAACGCCACCACATGGTCACCAGATGAGTCATAAGTTGGAGCACGTGTGCCGATAGCGAAATTTTCGATGTTACACAAAAATGTCGCCTTTCAGAGGTATTGATTCGAATAAATGACAACTGTTTAATAAACGAGAGACACTCACTATGGACCAAAACAGCACCTGCAAAAAGCATTCCTCTTTTGCATATGGAAGATAACGGGGTGATGATGCACCGCAATATCCAAATGAGTGTACACCCTCAACTGCAAGATAATTTGTTACATGAACCGAAAAATCAATCAGTGCTTCATTAACTCTGCTACGTTTAAAATTAATCAGTGCAAAGGTCAATCTAAACCTCCTTAACCTACTGGAAGTAGGTGATTAAAATAATACCGAGATTCAGCCTGAATCGCAGTATTGTTCTGCATCCATCCTCAAATCCTT